TCTCAAGAACAAACTCCTACTAGCAGAGTTGAGCTGGCGAGAGATCGAAAACCTCCCGCCAGCTAAACTTGGCTGATCGCGGCCGGTGGCTGCGATCAGCTTCCTGAGTATATCCGCCCATCGTTGAGGCTCTGTTTAAGGGTTCCGAGCGGTGATCTCCCGAAGCAGCAGGAGATCTTCAACTACCGTGAAACGCTTTCTTTGCGGCGCGCTCCCAAACGACCCAGACACACTGCACGCAGCCATTTTTGGGAAGCGGATCTGATAGCGTACGCTCGGTCCACTCCGCTCTGCGTCGTCGAGAGCGGAAGGGGACGCTGAATACGATAACCACGCTCGACCCAGAGGCTAGAGCGAGGTCGCTCATGCGCAGTGGCGTTTCCGCGCTCCGCTCTGCAGAGTGGCTGCACGAAAACGGCCTACTAAAGCGCCGTTCACACTCTTGCGACCGAGTAAGACCGAGAGAGACCAGACCGGTTTTTAAGCCTCTTGTGATCTCTTAGGACCATCTCCGCTGTAGCGCAGCCGGTCCTAAGAGGTCGCAAAAGGCTTAAAAACCGGTCTGGTCTTACTCGGTCGCAAGAGTGTGAACGGCGCTTTACTCGGTCGCAAGAGTGTGAACGGGCCTTAAAACTCAATGACCGCCGGCGCCCACCACTTTGGCGCCCACTCTCCCCTAGTCTGGGGTGCTATGTTACGTTTTTTCCACTCCCAGGAGACTTGGAAGAAGGAAGTGACGTCAACGACTGGAGCAAACGCAGATTGGATGTTGACAGAAGAAAACAAAATCAACATCCAATCTGCATTTGCTGCGTTGTTGACGTCACTTCCTTCTCCCTAGTATCCTGGGAGTGCAAAAAGCGCAACATAGCCCCCCTGGACTCCCCGACTGCACGGCACCGTCAGTGGACTGACGGGGGAAGCGGAAATGAACACTTGACACAAGGGGAGCGTCGGATGCGAGCCTCTGTATAGAAACTCACTCTGCAGGCGAACGGGCTCCGCGCTGCCCTCGCCTATGTCCTCCTCGCCATAGCAAGGGTATAAAAGAAAAACATTTTTATTTTTGCTTCATTCGCAGTTACTTGGGACCTCCTAGAAGCCAGTGTGGCAGCCAAAGTCTATGCCATAATCGATCGCGATTGAAGTAGTGCACCGACGACGACGACGAGCACGACGTGTGCGCACAAGCAGAGAGCGCGTGAAGAAACTTTCGAGCGGCAGCAGGACAAGCGGTCGCTGATGGCCGTCACCGGATAAAACCCAGTTATTATTCGGTGGCGTAGCTGTTGTCGGCACGAACACAACAGTCTACCTAAGAAATTTCCAGGAGAGTCCATCGTAGCTGGGAGGAAGAATTTTTTTTGACTTCGGTTGTGCTTGACAATGAATTGCAGAGAAAATTGTAACTTGAGAGTATCTTGAAAGTAACGAGTTACTTTTTTGGGGTGTTTTGTACTTTACTCAATTACTTTACAAATTCGAGTATTTAGTACTCTGCTCAGTTACTATTTTTCGTGGTACTCAGTAACTTAAATACATTTAGTGTCTTTTACAAGCCTGCTAGGTACAGGTATAGTTACTTCAAAGATGCTTTGTTTATTTATTTTCCCTAAATCTCTCACAATATATTCGAAGTAAAGCTTTTCATATTAAAGGTACACACAAAAACGATTTCGATATATGTGCTTTACTGGTGTCACTGCGATGTCCACATCGGATTTGAGTCCTCATATGCCTTATCCGCTCCAGTTGGTTTACCGAGGCCACAGCTTCCACTTTTTACCATGTCACGCCGAAACCGGCGAAACTCGCTTGTTGGCGTTCTTTCCCTCAAAGCCGGTGTTGACGTCGACGGGCCCAGAAGACGTCGGCAGCATGAAGAAACGCATGAGTCAACTGCATATGCACCGAACCTTCGCGACGACGAGCAAAAAGCTTCAAGTTTCCTCTTTTTTTTATATATTAGTCGGAAGAAAATTAATTTATTTTTCTCTCGGAAGTTTTTTTTCAGTTCTGATAACTGCTAATTTTTATTCCGATTTATTGGGGTGAAACTGTATTATATACACGATGTTACACTGCTTTACGAGTTTAATTATAATTTATTTTGAATTACATTTTATATTGTATTTATGGCAGAAGAGAGCCACCACCAGGACAAGGTACAGCCAACAGAAACTACGCACATCTTTCAAGTTATCTCCTTTCTCGCATCAGAAAAGATTCAAACACGCAATGAAGTCGATTTCTGTTTGAAATGAAGAAAGCAGGTAGCTATTTTCTCTAAACGGAGTTCCGAAGCGATTCGATAAATTGGTGTCGCTAGAACGGCGTCACTAATCCACCGTTCGCTTAGGTGTCGTTCGATGAAACATCATGGGCGGGGCTTCGTTCGCTGAAACGTCGCTCGATCACGTCAGTGCCTCCCAGGTCGTACCCAGTTCAACGTTAATCACGACACATGGTAGTGTGTTAATACCTTAAGATTTATAGTTTCTATCATGTTGACGAAGTCTATAGAAAAGTACCTGTAAAAAGGAACTTCACTTAGCTACAAGTTACTGGAAAATGTACCTAAGATGCAGATACAAATACCGAGAAACGAAAGTACGTAGGTTTGTACCTCAGGTACAACGAAAGTACCTAGATACCGATTTCCAGTTACTTGTACTTAGGTACTTTACAGCCCTGCTTTCAGCCTGCTTATCTGTTGCGCTCACGGCTATGGCTGCCAGCGAATACTTCCGACACTTTCATTAAAGGCCGACGACCAGACTCGAGATTCTGCAAGGCAGAAGATCCTCTTCACCATAGAGGAGGATGAAACAGGCAACGGTTGACTGTGTGAAAGGGGTAGAGGTGGAAGCGAGGGAAAAGTTGAAAGCGCGAACTGGTCGTCGGTCTTTAAGAGGAGTTAGAGGAATGGTCATACTGTCAACTTCGACGGTGTTCGTTTAAGAACGCGACGGCCACAAACTTCCACTGTACCATTTATAAACACCATCAAAATTGTCGCTAAAACTCGATCATCTGGGTCCTGACGTACCAGATAGGGCCCACAAGAGAGAGCCATCGAAACATCTCGTCGCCAATAAAACAGCTCAATAACCTACACGTCAGAGCAACGACAGCCATCTTGATGTTTGAAAAAATTGCTTTTAGTTATCCGCATCTTTATCTGAAATGCTAGGAAAGGGATTTCCGTCACTCATAAATGTTAAAATAGTCAGGGATAGAGTAAAGACTTCATCGCCTGACAGGCACGTAGCCAGGGGGGAGGCCCATGGGGCCCGGACCCCCCCCCCCCCCCTCCGAAATCTCCCATTTTGCTGGGACCCTCCTCTCCCCCCTCCCCCTCATACAACATTTTGTCATGGGCGGGCCCTTCCTGAAACTAAATTCTGGCTACGTGCCTGTCGCCTGAGCTTCCTGACGCAGTATCTGAAGCTCAGCAAGACGCATTTTCGAATGCTAACGATCGCCCATTGCAGCCTCTCTGCACTAAGCCCCAAATCACGGCACCCGCAAAAGAACGGGGAATGGAGTGGCGATACTCTAAGCGCAGCTTAGTGGCTCTAGGTCCGAACTTGCGTAACCAACAGACCGCAATAGATGTCTTATCATTATTGTGTCAATGTTTGTTCTCAATAACTCTCATCGATCTCTCTCGTATGGTGGCGATTCAAGGGGTGCTCTAGCTCAGGGATCGGCAACCCACTGCCCGCGGACCGTATGCGACAGGCGAGGCAGTTTTATGTTGCTCCCGAAACGACACCAGAAAAGTCCCCCTGCCGCTTCCTCACGCAGACTCAAAGACCACACGGAACGTTTGTGCTCCAATGATGTTATACATGAATAAGGAACGCTCACAATTGGCACTGTCAGGCATCCCCATACTTGGGCAGAGAACCCCTGCTGTAGCTCATCAGACGCAAACTTCCAAATGAAAACACACCAATCATTTGTGTCTACATTGAATTCGCTGGTGTGGAACTAAAAACTAATTTCTAGAAGCCCCACGAAATCGTATTTCCTCTCCCGCTGGACCATGTGGTAAACCATCTCATGTAACTGAATCCAGAGTTTTTCTTCAAGCTGAGAGAAACACAGTCAGAGAAACTCCGAGGAAAATTAAAAACATCTCTCTAGGAGTGTGTGTATTATGTTGCAGGTTAAGGAAAACCGGGCAAGCTCATCCCGCAAATCCCTCCTCTATTTCTACTTAAGCAGAGCAAACGGTTAGAGGAGGTTAGGAGGGACTCGCCTCTTCTCCAGTGTTCGTCCTGCTTAAGTTGGAAAGGTGGAGGGCTTTACGGGAAGAGCTTGTCCTGCTTTTCTTAACCAGCAACAAGGTTATCACTTCAAGGAACGCACAAATGTATAACGAACTCGCTGAAATACAGGAGTTTTTTTCTATGAAACCTGAAGTTTATATAGGATATTTATGTATACAGTAATGTATCGTTAATATGGACCCTGTTATTCTAAAAACTCCGCTATATGGACACCATTTTTGTGCGGTTATTAAGGACAACCCACATTATGGACAATTTTTGCGGGAACGGACGTGTCCATGTTAACGAGATACCACTATATCACGTGTAGTACTATATTTGTAGATAAAAGTATATTAAGTATATATGCAATTTCAAATAGTTATTAATGAATAGTTCAAATGTATAGAAGTGTTTCTCAGAATGCGTAACATAACTGCGGGATTTAGGTTTACATTTATTAAAAAAGTAGCGGTTATAAAATGTTTCCAATAACACTCGATGGAGCGGTTTAATGCTCTATGCAGAAGGTTTTCTTGTAAGGATGTGTGAATTTCTACTAAAAATACCTTTTCGCAACAGAGATCATATTGCTTGTTTTTAGACACTAGAGCAAAAGCGCGACTACTAGAGGCGAGTTCAGCTTTCAGGATTGTCTTTAGTTCATATAGCAGTATCTTCTTACTGTACAAATTATTACATTTCAGTGGCAACCGACGCAACATGCATTTGTTCGCCATGCAGCTTGGCATGGCTCTTGTGGGTCTTCTCTTTAAGATTATTATTTTGCTGGTGGCTGTGGGTCTCACTCTGAAGATATACTGCGAGTGTACCAAGGGAAAATACCGTGGTTCTCAAGGAATGGCCGGCAAGACTGTCATCATTACTGGAGGAAATTCAGGTGAACTGAAAGAGGTGTCAGTCATGCGAGTCACATGTATTTGCTTGGTCTGGTGTGGATTTCGGCGGTGGTGTTAACCATCTTCGGATGAAGTGCTAATTCATTGTGGATGTCTCGATTGAGCGACTGCTCAGGATACGCAATACATCAGACTGCAACGTTCTAGTCACAGAGGTATGCTGAATATTGCGGATGTTCCGTACATTGTTCGCAAGAGCTTTGCGCTGCGAGCGGGAGTTTGTGCCGTCATGTTGAGCACGAATTGACCACGCCCACGCAGGCCTGTCAATCCATAGCGTACGTGCTAGAAAATCTGTCTGTTGAGCAGTTCGAAACCGTCTTTATTTTCTTGTCATCCCGCTGGCATCAAAAATGCCACCTAGAGGACAAAGCCTGAGCATTATGATAGTGTTAGTGAATCCGCGACTCATTTCAAGCGGCAAACACCCCGGAGCTCAACAAAAGTACGCAAAAGGCGTCAGACCGTAACCTCCTTCATACGTACAATTCATGCCCAATGGCGGGCTTCCGAATGTTTCGGTGCTGTTGCGCCTGCTTCACATAATCACCGCCAGGGGCGCCACCTCCCCATATAGCAAAGACGATCGTTTTCCGACACGCCACAGTGTATGTGATTCCAATGCTTTCGAAAGACATATTTCTTAGCGGGTCAGCAGCATTATGGGTACTTTCCAAGACTAAATAAATGTAGTGGACAGTAGACCTGGCCCAAAACGAGTCGTATGCTGGACGGACGAGCTTTTCAACTTTCACATTGTCGAAATAGAGAACACTGAAAGCTCTCATTCCTGAGGCCAGGGAGCAGGCCAAAAGCAGAAGTTACAGACAATTCAATTTAGCACTCTCAGGGCGGCGCCATTTTGTTCGATCGCAGCGTCCTCCCCACAAATCCGGGAAGTTCAGCAGGTTCGGCGGGGTAAAACGACAGTGAGATAGAGAGAAAGAGAGGGCACGCGCCCGATTCCGCTAGCAGACGACGAACCGTTCTTCATCTTTTGGCTGTAGCGATGGGCTGCTCCGAACATTGAACTCTCGCTCGTGGCTACCGTTGCAGCCTGTAGCGCCCTGTTGCTTTATTTCAATAAATGAACAACTAGCGTACATCTGTTCCGTTACTTCAATAGCAGTGCATTCAGCCGACACAACTACCCTCGACCACAGCGTCTCTTGCATCAGAGGAGCACGCTTTCCTTTATTATTCCAGACTTCCATTCATTGTCAACAAAAGCTACACCAGCACGAACATTGCATAGGAAAAAGGCTACAGCAACAGGAATTACTTTTCGCCGGAGAGACCGCCCACTCTGACACAGTTTTTTTTTCTATTATTTTCTTTATTTGCACGCAAGTAACACCGCAGTTGGACCCAGTTAGTCTTTTTAGCGACCATGGCATCGCACAATAACTCACATATCAAAATCCGCGACTCTGCGTTTGACATTTCCAAAATGACGCGATTTTAAACTCGGCGGAGCCTCTCTCCGCTCCTCCTACTGGAACGGTCTATTACCCCAGGCGAAGAGCACTGGGTACAACCGCTACGAAGTCCTCTAAGCAGTGTGGAAGGTGTTAGCTGTGCCGAGGCTCACGCTTAGTAATGACTAATGGCGTACGCTGCCTGCCGTCAGGCACCCATCACTACCTAGAGGTGGGTGAGTGAAAGGTGAGTAGGTCTGCCAGTCAAGCAGCACCGAAAGAGGCCGTGGAAGGGTACATGAACCTGGAGTAGCTGTATAGGCTCTGCTTGCAGAGTCAGGGTACCGCGTTCTTTTTCTATTCGCCGCCAACTCTGTTTTGGCGGAGGAGCGGTCAGATGCGCCGAGCTGGATCCAACCTTCTTACGGGATAACGACCCTGCAGGCGCCGAGTTTCGGGTGCAGCATGTTTCTCGCACTGGGTTTGTGAAATGTACACCTTACACTAAAATCAAATGAGCTGGAAGGTTTCTTTACCATTCAACATTATCTGTATCCGCTGAGTACAGTATAATCGCGTTATTTTATAACGCGAGCGATGTCTTAACACATGTTTCTAAAGTCTGGTAAGCAGCCGGCACGGTGGACGGTCACGTTGCTTCCGTATCCGGCGCCCGCGGATCGATACGCGACCGGTACATCCCGACACCATGTACCAAACAACAATGTGCAATTACGGCTTGTGAAGGGACATCCATCCATCCATCCATCCATCCATCCATCCATCCATCCATCCATCCATCCATCCATCCATCCATCCGTCCGTCCGTCCGTCCGTCCGTCCGTCCGTCCGTCCGTCCGTCCGTCCGTCCGTCCGTCCGTCCGTCCGTCCGTCCGTCCGTCCGTCCGTCCGTCCGTCCGTCCGTCCGTCCGTCCGTCCGTCCGTCCGTCCGTCCGTCCGTCCGTCCGTCCGTCCGTCCGTCCGTCCGTCCGTCCGTCCGTCCGTCCGTCCGTCCGTCCGTCCGTCCGTCCGTCCGTCCGTCCGTCCGTCCGTCCGTCCGTCC